ACAACATTATTTTGTTAAATAACAACATGGTGATGTTTTGTAAATGATTACATGTATTATTTAGCACAGACTATGATCCTATCCGTGACATATGGATCTTAACAAAGATCCGCTATACATTAGTGCCAGACATACTGTACATCCAGTTTACTGTATCGAAGTTGATTTCACATGAGCTCCAGTGCACCCCCTGGTGGATCAATGATCCATTGCAGCTGGCTTCACAATAATTAAATGTATTTATCACGGGGACGGTATCAAGTCAGACTGGGGGCCGGCTCTTCATCACGAACCGATCACGGGCCGATCACGGACCAATCACGACCCAATCACGACCCTCGCGTTTCAAACTGTCTGAAATAAGATGCTCCATCTGTATAAATGTAATTTGGTTGTGTGTGTAGACGGTGGAAGCAGGGAGAGGCATATACGTGCCTTGATCCCTGCCGAGTCGACGCACAACTGTTGATTGCTGACAGTGCCAAAAAACTTTTTAGGAGCAATGCGCTCATGGTATAGATGTGGCGCATACATCTTAATTTCTACTCTTTTCCCTAACCCTATCCTAAGGGAGTGCATGTACGTAGACACGTTGTCCCTCTCCGCCTCTGTTCCTTACTTCTTACTTGCTACCCCTTTCCCTCAATCTATCCTAAGGGAGTGCATGTACGTAGACACGTTGTGCCTCTCCACCTCTGTTCCTTACTTCTTACTTGCTACCCTTTTCCCTCAACCTATCCTAAGGGACTGCATGTACGTAGACACGTTGTGCCTCTCCACCTCTGTTCCTTACTTCTTACTTGCTACCCTTTTCCCTCAACCTATCCTAAGGGAGTGCATGTACGTAATAATAATAATAATAATAATAATACATTTTATTTATATAGCGCTTTTCAAAACTCAAAGACGCTTTGCAGTATGAGGGAGGGTAGACAAATAAGGACAGGCAAACAAACAAATATAGTAAAATAAAACAAACAAAAAAAGGCAGTCAAGAGGAAATTGATTGAGAGGGGGGGGCTTATGGGTAGACAGAGTTGAAAAGATGTGTTTTGAGGCGGGACTGAAAGACTGTGAGGCACTCAGAGTCACGAAGATCTTGGGGGAGGGAATTCCAGAGCCTAGGAGCTGCCACTGAGAAGGCTCTGTCCCCAAAGCTGCAGAGTGTGGATGTGGGAATGGATAGGAGTCTGGCTGCGGTGGATCTGAGGGACCGTGGGGATTGATAAGGAGTGAGAAGGTTTGTGAGATAAGGGGGGGCCAGAATTTTGTAGTTGATGCGATGGGAGACAGGAAGCCAGTGGAGGTCTTTGAGGACTGGGGTGATGTGATGCCATGATTTGGTATGCGTAAGGAGACGTGCAGCTGCATTTTGAACCCGTTGGAGTCTGTTGAGGGAGGTAGTGCTGATGCCGTAAAGAAGTGAGTTGCAGTAGTCGAGGCGGGAGGAAATGAAGGCATGGATTAGTCGTTCGGCTGCGGGGCGGGTGAGAGAGGGTAGAATTTTTGCAATATTGCGGAGGTGGAAAAATGAGGTTTTGACTGTTTGGCGGATGTGAGGTTCGAGGGAGAGGGTGGGGTCAAAGATTACGCCAAGATTGCGTGCCTGATTGGAGGGGGAAACAATGGTGCCATCGATGGTGAGTGTTATGTTAGTGACCTTGCTGAGGGTGGATTTGGAGCTGATTAGGAGTTCTGTTTTGTTGCTGTTCAGTTTGAGGAGGTTATGTTGCATCCAAGTTTTAATAGATGTCAGACAGGAATCGATGTGGGTAAGGTGTGTTATGGAGGGATTTGGTGCTGAGGTAGATCTGAGTGTCATCAGCATAGCAGTGGAAGTCCAGGTTGAAGTGGCGGAGTATCTGACCGAGGGGGAGGATGTAAATGATGAAGAGGAGGGGGCCAAGTACTGATCCTTGAGGAACGCCTTGGGTGACTGAGGCTGTGGCAGAGGAGTGTTTGGGGAGGGAGATGAAGTGGGATCGTTCAGTGAGGTAGGACTGGAGCCATCTGAGTGCAATACCTTCAATACCAATGTCCCTGGGTGAGCAGGATGTTGTGGCTCACGGTATCGAAGGCTGCACTCAGGTCGAGGAGGATGAGAATATTGAGGGAACCAGTGTCAGCAGAGGTGAGGAGGTCATTGAGGACTTTGACGAGTGCAGTTTCTGTACTGTGGTGAGGACGAAATCCAGACTGAAAGGGTTCGTAAAGCTGGTTGGTTTGGAGATGGCAGTGAATTTGTTTGGTTACAATGCGTTCAAGAGTTTTTGAGAGGAATGGTAGGTTGGAGATGGGGTGGTAATTAATGAGGGAGGAGGGATCAAGACTGGTTTTTTTTAGGATTGGAGTAACGGCAGCAGTTTTGAAGGCAGAGGGGACGATTCCATGGGACAGCGAGGAGTTGAAAAGGTTAGCAAGATAGGGGCAGAGGACAGGGAGGGAGGACTTCAGGAGAGGAGTGGGTAGAGGGTCAAGGGAGCAGGTTGTGGGATTTGAGGAACCGATCAGATGGAGTATTTCAAGTGGGGTAACCAGGTTGAACTGGGAGAGGCGGCGCTGGGGAGGAGGAGTCAGGAGGTCAAGGGAGATGGGGGGAGAAGTGGTAGCGGTGGAGGTTGGGGGAGATGCTTGTATATCAGATGGAGCTGAGAAGGAGTGGTTAATGGCGTTCATTTTGTCTGCGAAAAACTGGAGGAATGAGCTGCAAGTAGCGGAAGTAGAAGTAAGGAGGTTATCAGCACGGGGTTTGAAGAGCTTGTTAACTGTGGAGAAGAGGGTGCTGGGGTTACAGGAGGGGTCAGTGAAGATGTTGGAGAGGTAGGCAGATTTAGCGGCAATAAGAGCATCTTATGTAATGGACTGTGAGGGATGATTTATTTGAAAGACGGCCTCGCTGCTTCATTTTACGGAGTGCGGGTGTGAATCAGGGTGAGGAGGTCTTGAAAGTAACAGTTTTATTTTTTGAGGGGGGCTAAAGTGTTGAGGGAGGTGAGTAGGGTGGAGTTGAGGTGGTTGAGCAGATCATCAGGTGAGCTGAGGGTTGTGTCCAGGGGGAGATTAGACGATAGCAGTTCGGAGAGATGGTTATGGTCAATGGAGTGTAGATTACGGAAGGTGATGTTTCTGGGTGGGCAGGGGTTTCGGGTGGGGGGGGGCAATGGTGAATTGTATGAGTTTGTGGTCGGAGAGGGGAAATGGGCAAGGGTGGAGGTCAATCACTGGGAGGTTGGTAGAGCAGACGAGATCAAGGATGTGTCCTTTGTCATGGTGGGGAAGGTGACATGTTGGGTGATAGAGAAATTGTCCAGTAGGGTTGTGAATTTGGATGCCAGCTTGAAGGTGGGTGAGTCAATGTGAATGTTGAGGTCACCAAGTAGAAACAGACGTTAAGAGAGGGATGAGGCAAGTGTGAGGAATTCAGTGAAATCGGAGAGGAAGGAGGGATGAGGTTTAGGAGGCCGGTAGATGAGGATGACTGTCAGTGAGGGAGGGGCTTTGAAGGCAATGAATTCAAAGGATGATACTGAGGGGAGGGTTAGTTCTGTGATCTGGATGTTCTGATTGTGGACTACAGCAAGGCCACCACCACGGCGGGAGTGGCGGGGTTTAGTGATGTATTTAAAGCCAGGGGGGGATGTTTGGTTGAGGGAGAAGAAGTCATCGGGCTGTTGCCAGGTTTCGGTGAGCAGAAGGAAGTCAAGGGATTTTTCCAAAATTAGTTCATGGAGGATGAGGGCTTTCTTGTTGAGTGATCGGATGTTAAGGAGGGCAATGTTAGTTGAGTGGGAGGGGCGGCACGTTGTGCCTCTCCACCTCTGTTCCTTACTTCTTACTTGCTACCCCTTTCCCTCAACCTATCCTAAGGGAGTCCATGTACATAGACACGTTAGTTTAGCTGCTATAGGCTTAGACTGTCGGGGGGCACCTTACTTCTTCCTTCTGTCTGTCTGTACCTGCGTACTCTCATGTTCCAAATAACCCAGCTTACCCCAAATTTCTTGTTGCTGTCTATCTACGCCGGGATCCTGAGTCGTGGCTGTTGCTGCGGTCCTGTGTCCTGGATCCTCTATCCTGAGTTCTGGATTTGAGTCCTGGACTTCGAATCGTGGCTAAACCTATCACTGTGGTCCTGCCTGACTCTCATCATACTACTTCCCTGATGGCTCCCACAGGATTGTTGACATCCTCGTGGTTTCATCTTCTTATTATAGACACATGCATTTCCAAACATTTGGTCTACCTATGCTGTAAAATGTATTATTTCTTCGATTTACACACGGCATCTATTGCACGTCTGTCCGTCCTGGGAGAGGGATCCCTCCTCTGTTGCTCTCGAGATTTCTCCCATTTTCCCCTTTAAACTGTGGGGTTTTTCTCTGGAAGTTTTTCCTTGTACGATGTGAGGGTCTAAGGACAGAGGGTGTCGTATTGTCATACTGATATTTCTGTACAAACTGTGAAGTCCACTGAGACAAATGTAACATTTGTGATATTGGGCTATATAAATAAACATTGATTGATTGATTGATTGATTGATTGATTGATTTACAAACCGATAACATGATATCAGCTTGAGGCTTGTTTCCAGCATAGCATTAAGGCTTTTACTTATTTAAATTCTAGCCCCAAGAGCTGCCGGCCCTACCATTATCACCATCTGATGAGGAATTATTCTCTGTAATGAAATAGTTGACCTTAAGTTATTTTCAAAGCCTGTAGAGGCCTGTCAAAGTCAACATTTGGTGCCAAAGTTTTCCATCTTTTTCAGAAATTGAAAATATTTTTTTCTTGAAACTGCTTATTCACAAAAGCCAATTCCCTGCAGGTCAATGTCAGTGTCAATCAGAGTCCTCTACATATCAAGACCCATAGAGCTGTAAGGGATTTAGTGTTTTGCACAGCTCTTATCTTGGGGTTTCAAGTTTAAAGATAGTTGCTCCATAAGTTTGTCGTTGAAATGTGATTAAATGTACTTTCTCCCTTTCTGGCTCTTGTAGATCTTCGTTTTTGAAAACAACATCTACTATCGCTCCAGGGTAGATAACCGCTCTATTCGTTTGGTGTCTACTGGCAAGGAGGGCGTCATTTTCAATGGGCTCAGTGATTGGCTGTACGAAGGTAAGGCAGAAAACATTTTCTTACTTTCTTAAACAGGAAAATGAAAAGAATGATAACACTTGCCTTTTTGTCTGTTGAATATAAAGCAAGAACCAACGGAGCCCCTAAAGGGACCTGAAAAAAAAAAAAAAAAAAGAGGGGCCACTAGGTCCACTGTTTCCCCGCAGCGAGGCTCCCCTCCCGTTGACAGTTTACGTGGGCTGGGCTGGGTGAGATTCCCGGGCTGATTTTTAGTCCCAGTCCGCCCCTTGCACAGAGCGGAGCTGAGCAGATCACACACACACACACACATATCATGCACTTTGGTGACCGGACATCTCCTTCATAAAACTAATAAAAGGGGCAGTTCGATGTGTGTAGAGGTGTGTGTGTGTGTGTGTGTGTGTGTGTGTGTGTGTGTGTGTGTGTGTGTGTGTGTGTGTGTGTGTGTGTGTGTGTGTGTGCGTGCGTGCGTGCGTGTGTGTGTGTGTGTGTGTGTGTGTGTGTGGAGGTGTGTGTGGTTAAAACGTAACAGCCTGCGGTCACTCTTTAGCTGTTCGGATGATGGTAAACAGTGTAGGCGGTGCGTAAAAGCTCTTTGAGCGCTGGTGCTGCTCTTCTCTGAGTTGCACGTCCCGCTGTCTCCTGGAGTGACCACACACCCCTGGCCGAAATGTCCTTAAAATGAAGTCTGAGTACGAAATATATCTCAAATAATGTATGCACTGTCATTTCCCCACGTAAACATAACAGTCTGCAATGAAACGGTTGTCTCCTGTGCGCTCCACTTCCTCCTTGGCGCACCGGTAACTTTCTCCAAAAAAAGAAAATAAAGGCGGGACAACGGGTTATCGTGCGCACGAGATACTTTGTCGTGAGCACGAGATACTTTCTCGTGAGCACGAGATACTAACCCATTATCCCGACTTTTTTTTTTCTTTTTTTTTTTTTTTTTTTCATGACCAGTCGATCGTGAGATGTGTCTAAAAACAGAACAACAATATTCAGTTTTATTGTTAATGTCCTATAACATAATCTTCCTGTGCCAGAATAATGCACTTGAACGCATCAAAGCTTTGTGATTGGCGTGACCTCATGTATCGGGGCGTGGCTGGTGGGCAGTGGTATGAAGGTAGCAAAAAAATGCGAGAGCGTGTAAAACCTGATGTGAGTACTTGCAGAAAAAAATCTGAGCTTGTGTGCATACATTTACACTTGTATAAAATATCCATGTATCTGTGAACCAAATTTGAAGTCACAGAAGAAAAAAAAAAGTTTTGTAGCTTGTTGAAAAAAAATGAACTTAGTGATGAAATGTTCACTTGCAGAAAAATATATATTTTTAAAATATATTTTCCATTACAACTGCAACTTGGTTATTACAACCTCTCAAATCAGTCATTACAACTTCACGAATCTGCTCTGTGGCAGTATAAATCGACGAATCTGCAGCCTTGACTTTTGCTACACTTCTTGCGATGAATGTGTCGCAAAAGTAATTTTCACCTGTAGATGTGGGGGGAGGGGGGTTGGAGCGAAGGGGCGGAGCTATCACAACGACGAGGCTCGGGTCAGTCACACAGTCACAGCCATAGTCAGGTCGAACCGGATGACTGCGGGGCTAACGGTCCGTGTCTTCATGCTTATATCGGACTATTGTGACTCGCTCTGCGGTTAAAACAGACGGTGCATGAATGTGGTTTTGCGGTAAGTGAAATTCGAGTACTTATTTATGTGTTTATGATTTTAATCAGCTACGTAATGAATGTTAAGGCTTGGGTTAGCGTGTAAGCGAGTGGTAGCTACATCTGTGCTAACGATGCTAATCGTAGCCTGCAAGTTAAAACCATAGACTGTATATATGAAGGTTAAAACGAAATAGACAAGTGTTAAGCGTTAAGTGGGATAATACTGTAGAACAAACGGCTTCTGTTTGAGGTTGTTAAATAAGGTCATCCTTGTAACTTAGAGAGATATTTTATTATGTAGGTAGGAACTGTATGCATCGCTAAGGTTAATTTAAATCCGCTATGCTGAAGTATGTAGACAAGCTAACGTTGAAGTAGTGTATGTGAAATCAACCTCACAATAAGTTGTGTATATTACAATTATTAATGTCATATTTCAAGATGATTACTTGGATATTACAATATGGTTGGTTGAGCTGGAGTTCATTATTGAGCTTACACGTTAACGTAAGTCATATCTGAAGAACGAACCCAAATCTTGTTGTTTTTATTAATTGTATTACCAAATTGGTATCAAATAAACAGTAAGCATTGGTAACACAACTTCCAAAGTTACAGTAAAATAAAAAGGACCCTGACTCGGCCAATACACAATCCAACATGTTCAACAGAAGAGAATAAGTTATATTGTTTGTACACATGGTACTTTACATATATATCTGTTTGTTTAAAGTGTCCAGGTGATGCAGACAGGCTGGACCAGAGAGTGAGAGACAGAACTGGACTCCTCACAGCAGTGAACTTCAGCACAGGTACAAATACTCTTTTTTCATACTGTACAAAGAATCAAGAAAGATATTGGTTTAAATAAATGAAGTATTGACTTTAATACACTGATATACATTCCATTAAACAATACTAAATACTAGATCACCTACACATCAGTGAAGTTGAGGGGTTTTTCCATGCAAAGGGTTACATTTAGATGTTAACAAGCAATATTACTTTGTCAGCTTTCTAATTTAAGGTATTGAAGGCAAAGCTATTTAACACATAGTGAGAACTGCTACTATTTATCTCTCAATATTGTCTGTAAAAAACGTGGTAAAAGTTATTATTTCAGTGAGACAACAGAGCAAGCTTCTACAGTTGCACTAAGTTTTGATAACAGTTAAATATTATTTTGATAATAAAATATATTTCAATGTTGATGAATTTCATACTGTTCATTCACAATCTGATTGTCTTTGTAGCTCACTGTTGGAATAAAAAAAAACATTACAATTACAAAATAATTATATCTACAGCCCCTAAACACAAACACACCTCATTCATAAATAACACACTTGTTCTGCAATAATATGTTTTATGTTTCCTGTAATTTTTGTTAGGAAAGGACATGCCTGAAAGACACGATTCAACATTTTCTCCTTCTCTGAGGGTCAAGAAGAACATCCAAGAGGAAAATTAAAAGCTGATGTTATGAGATTTTAAGACCAGTACAGGACATTCACTAAGAAACTACTTTTATTGTGAAAACAAAGTCAGCTGATCGGATGCACCTATTTCCACATCTACACTCCATCAGCTGATTATTTCTATTTGCCTCAATCAAGAGTGCAAATACAAATACAATGTATTGAAATGTGAACCAAAAGTTCATCAAAAATGTTTTAAATAAAAAGCACATATGGACAGAAGGTGTAAACCTATTAAATGTATAAGTAAACACATTTAGTCAAATAAAGTGACAGACTAGGCCTGTGCAGTTGGTATTAGCTATGTCCAGCATGGGCTCCTCCATCAGGCCTGGTCCTCCTCGCTGAGGAAAGACCCTCAGTCCTCTCCGGCCAAACCAACAGACAGGACCATCACACGGAGGTTTCTCCCAGAAGTCTCTGCAGCTCTCTGGACACCACGCTGTCTCAATCCGTCCACACTGAATATGAGAGGGGGAAAATGAAAATAATAAATGCTTTAGACAATAAGAAATATAAAAGTGAACCGTTGAGTTGCTCAGTTTTTTTTTAGATTGTCAATACTATTACTTTATAACTAATATCCCAGGTTAACGGCCCCTACACACGGCCTACAAAAGTAGAGCATGTTCTACTTTTGAAGCTGAGGCGGAGGCGGCAGCCAATCAAATCCCGCGTATGCAAATCTGACAGTTCAAGCGCTAGCCAATCAAACCGCGTGTATGGTGAGAGAGCCAGACCGCAGTTCATTTCCTCATATGCCAAAAAATAATCGTAGCGGTAGGGAATCACCCGGTGCTTTCAGTCCCTGTTCACCTACCGGGATACAAACCGGAGGAGCCAGGCATGGAGGGAGGTGGCAGAGACAGTGGGTGAAACTGGTAGGTTTTCGCCTGTTTGGGGAGTTTATATTCAGTGTACTTCGTTTGAATGGACAGCAGGCATAGACAGTATATTTAGCCACCATGCAATGTTGCATAAAATAGCACCATAGACATTAATTAAAAATCGCTTTTTAGAGATTCATACACGGGAGCCTTTTTAAAGCCTTTTTACCCCGCTGCAAACAGAACCCCCTTAAATGTATTAAACGTATAATTAAGTGATGGCAAAATATAAATAACTAATGTCATGCAAACATATTCATATTTGCTTGATTCCAGTGTTGAATTTGGCACAATTGCATACAAACGTCAAGGGATTTTAAGATTCTGACGTCTTCGTTCTAAATAGAAAATAGCATGGATCATTTACAAAGGCTTTAAAAACACATCAGGAGCCCAAGACAACTATAAAACTTGTCATTATTTCAGTACAGTTCAATTGGTTTTATTTTCATAAACGGTTATCAACCGTTAGTGCCAAAGCAGTAGGCTATAATATATTAATTACTGCTGTATAGACTACAACCACTACTTGTTTAGCTAGCATAAATTCAACAAAGCTAGCATTAGCTGGCTAACTGACGTTATTTTGCCGCTAAACTGCACGAAATAAAACGGTGGTCTTCATAGCGGATTTAATCCTCAATCACAATAATAATATTCAAAGTAATACTGGGGAAGTAATGGGCAAAACTTACCGTTGATTGACGCACCATGGTAGCGACACGGACCGTTAGCCCCGCAGTCATCTGGTTCGACCTGACTATGGCTGTGACTGTGTGACTGACCCGAGCCTCGTCGTTGTGATAGCTCCGCCCCTTCGCTCCAACCCCCCTCCCCATCTACAGGTGAAAATAACTTTTGCGACACATTCATCGCAAGAAGTGTAGCAAAAGTCAAGGCTGCAGATTCGTGGATTTATACTGCCACAGAGCAGATTCGTGAAGTTGTAATGACTGATTTGAGAGGTT